CAACTCTGACTCCCCAAACATTAAAATCTCCGCTGAACATTGATCTGCTCAGGTTGCCCTGGGCGTGCTCAAGGAGCCCTGTGCAGGGAACATGTGTGAGATACCTTCTGCAAAGCTGGCTGAATGGTCTTTTGGTAAGAGTAACTGCACTCTGTCTGTAGAACAAAACTTTAAGGACTATTTTGGATATACACTGGAACAGCCACAGGCTGGAAGTAGGTTTTCCAAAGCATTATAGATGGAGGGAATGTCACGGATGCTTTAAAACTCTTCAGATACGCGTAAAAATGACATGTACATTACGTATTATCTCCACAGAATAAACACCATCTGAAATGTGCCCCTTTTTAACTACCATTATGAGCATTTTGGTTGAAACTTGGGAGGAAAGGAGAGGGGAAAAAAAAAAGCCCACTGATCTTACACCTGCTCTTTAGCAGTGGGAAGTAGGTTCTCAATCTGTTAACATGACCATCTGGCCAATCTGCATATCACGGCTATCTGGATTACCCATACGATGGAATGACAATAACATAGCCAAAACAAAAGTAAAACGTATCAAAAACTAACAGTAGCGCAAGCCCTTTTGATTTTAAATTAAATAATAAATGTGGTATCAGAGCAAAACAAGAAAGTCAGCTAAATAATTAAAAATGAGCCTTCACTACAGCATAATTAAGTAAACAATATGGTGTGTGTTTCTGTATGAGCCAGTAATAGTTTCCACCATGGAACACTCCACTTTTGCAGAGCAGCGATCGGGAGTTCAAGGCGCTGCGACAGCTCTTTCGGTGACGTACGGTATTGTCAGGACACCTCTGCCATCCCTGCGACACGCCGGGCCGGCTGCGGCTATTAACAGGATTAATGCAGCAACAATCAATACCAATTGTACTAAAAGATTACAGCGCAAAGCCTCAGATACCTTTTGGACCCCCCAGTATCTCCACGGGTTCATGGGCTATCTGCAGGCGCTTTCTGCCTTAACCCATCTTTGCATTATTCCCCATCAATGCCTCTTTGTGGTGGTCCAAGTAGAAATATTTTAAATCTGCTGATGGGAACATAAAATGGGTCTGCCTAGAGTTCAAGGCCATGTGCTCTATACCACTGCCCACCAATTAGCCACAGAGCATATTTAGAGGTTAAATAAATTTTCAATCACAGAAATAAGGCTGAGTTCTTGCATCTTCGCTGGCTTCTAGTCTAAACATGAACGGAAAAATGAGCTCATGTAAATAAAGCCCTAGCCCCAGATTTTTCTTAAATTTGGGATTTTCGAATGTCCTTCTGAAAGACTAAAAGATTTTCTCTGCCACAAATACCTCGTGAGCTTAATTCTCGCCCGAAGCGCGTAACGATGGCCGGCCAAAAAAATAAACCAGGCATTGCAGCATCGCCTCCTGGCCCGCCATCCAGCTTTGGCTACTAGAGAAGGTTCTAAAAACTGTGACCTCTCACAAAATTTAACTACTTCTATTGTGAATCTATTCTCCAATCTGATCACATTAGCAGAAGGAACTCCAAAGCAGTAAAAAACTCCAGAAAGTTCTCGGTTGAGTGCCTACTAATGAACAAAGGTTAACTTTATCTAAAAGGTCAAATGCCTGGTGGCTAAGGTTGTGACCTTAACAACTTAAATTGTGACCTTGCCACGTGCCTAGTATATTGTAGATTCTGATACAGATCATCTGGTAAAGGGCCGGTCATAAATTAGCTTTACTGTTCGACTCCCACAAAGAAAACGGTTTGCCACAATGGTTTCCAACTTGTCATTTGATACAAGCACAGAATAAGTGAAAACTAAAAAGCGAATCCAAGTTCAGGGTATGAAAATGCTGCCTGCTTCTAGTTAAGCAGATTAGAAACTGCAATGTGAGAGTAATACTCTAGATTTCAATACATTTTTTGGTCAACCTCTAATTCACAAAACACCGATCTTCCTTTTTTTTTTTTTAATAAATTTCTCTTTTTTTCCTTTTAATGAAAATGACATGTAGTTTGCCTATTTGCATATTTTTGTTTTCTCTTTCTAGCCAGTTCTTAAAGAGAATAATTGATTTCAGTAGCTTTGTAAGAAGCACTATTTAAATCTGTGCACATGTGTTCCCTTACAGATGATAGTGCCTACTGAAGAAAAAGCGTGGATTCAAAGCAATAATTATCCTACATGTTTAGAAGGAAAGGGACATCTTGCTGCCGAAGTCATCTTGAATAAGGGCATCTTGGAAAAGAATACTCCTCGCCCAAAAAAGAAGACGAAAAGTGTGTGGGGGGGAAAAAACCAACAAGAAAAAGAGAAGCGAGCACTATGGGTGAAAAGGTCACAATGGTTTTGGCACGTATCTTCAAGCACGTTTCGGAGTCTGTGCCTCCTGCCAGTACTGGCAACTTCTCAAAACTTTTAAGGAGGTAAAAACATTGTTTAGTGTTTACAAATCTTCTGTACTATAGCAGATGCTTGTCAAATCCGCTATATGTAAGTTGACCAGCCTACCTAATATTTGCACTGGTGACTTCCTCCTTATAAATATGCAGTCCATACATTTAGGGAGCGAGGTCTGATGGAGTTGGAGACAAAGGACCCTTAATATTTTTTTTCTTTTGTAATTTTCCTGTTGCGCACCCGGCACAAGCTGCCATTACTGCGGGTCTGCGGGAACCAATGGCTGTCTACTTGGCCAATGTTCAGGTGTAACAAAGACTGCTGGGATACATCGGAGGGGGGAAAAAAATTAAAAAAGGGGGGGGAAAAAAGAGGTAGCCTGTACGCAAGGCTTTTGGTACACCTCTGTGAAGCGATATGGATGGCGACCGCGCTGTGCTACCTCCCAAAAATCATTTTGTCCCCCTCCCCGCTGAGGTTTAGCAGGAATACGCCAGCACACGCTACAGCATTAAGAGCACAATGCGATGCGTGCAATCAGCAAACAACGGCCAAAAACACGAAGTGGTGCGCTTCGCACAAGCGCATTACTGCTCACACAAATCCACAAATCTAACCCCAAAAAGCCAAGCCGAGGCTTCGTGCTAAGGTTCTGTGGCAAACGTAGTCCAAAGGACAATTAGTGCGATTGCTGCCTGTTGACAATGAAGGCAGAAATAAATAAGAGTTCGCTATCAAGGCTACTGTTTGCCACCAGCGTGCTGATAAGATGGGATATCCCTAATCACAATATTGAACTTTTATAACGTCTATTGCCCGACCGTTATAACAGGGAGAGGATCCTTTCAAGCTCCCTGAAATACCTCCACCCCTGGGTTTGGTTCTTTTCTCCCCATCCTACATTTTTACGACCCTACAGGCAGGCTAAGCCAAGACCATTGGTTTCTACGAACAACTTGTGCGCTCCATGGAGGGCTGCTTGGGAAACACAATACAGACCAGTATTTACCAGCACCATGCTATATATAAATCTAAATAATAAAAACCTGTGTGTCGTGGAGTGTAAATAGCAGTTTTAGCTGTGGATATCAAAGCACTTTAAATGCATCATCCCACTTCGACATGCAGAGGAGGAAACTAAGGTAGACAAAAGGGGTGCAAGTCCATAGTCTCCTCAAGGTTGGTGATGGAACGGGAAGTGACCTGAAATGCCCCAGTCCCAACCTCCCTTCAGTTAGCCATTAATCCATAATCCTTCCTTCACTGTGGCCATAATAAATTGCAGAGTAAATAAATAATTTTCCCCAATATTTGTCTACTTCCCCTTTGTCATAAACGAGCAATAGGATTTACCACCTCACACTGAAGTGTAAAGCAAATGTTGCAGCTTATCTGAAGGAAATACCACGAGGACACTCGAAAGTTATTTCCGAACAGGGATCATATCTATAAAATCCCAGCGGTGACACCGCCTATCGCAACAACCACGGCAGGGACTCAGCACGGAAGAACTTTGGGGGAGCCAAAACTTTCTGCAAGACCCTCCGAAAGAAGTTGGCATGGGACGTGCAAAGCTCCCAGGGCTGTAATTCACTCAGTTTCCTTACCGGTAAATATTTACGTAGAAGTGGTTTCTACTAATACAATTCCTCTCCTCTCTGCTCCTCTTTTTTTCCAGCCTGTCCAGCCCCTCAACTCACAAGTCAGGATATGCAGGGTGGCCTAAGCATCCCGTACATGAAACTCAGGGCCTTGCACTTCACGCACACACATATTTCTGCACTATAATCACTCAGGAGAACTACAATATTATTTATCCAGTCAACATACTACACATCCTTTGGGCACACCGCGTCACGCCGCGGGCAGAGTGTACTTTGTGTTGGAGTCAGGGATCCCAAGATTTTCATCACACACAAAAACATCTCAGTCCTCCCCCCAGTAAGCACAATATTATCAAATCAGGAATTATTTTCAAGACCTCCTTAGCTTCTAGGTATATAAACCGTGATATTTCGGGGGGGTTTAAGTGTCTTCTTTTCCCCCTAGGATTATGCAGATATTTGTTTCATGCTTGCTGTAACCTGATGACTAGGTTTGCTATCAAGGGACTGTCTTCTCCTTTCCCTCCAAGCCCAGTCCTGTGGAATTTATGCTCCTCATCTCATCCCCATGGGGTGAGGATACCTGGTACTCCTGACTCACAGGCCTCAAGCATCTCTAGCCCTCTTGCACTACTTTATGCATAACATATACAAATTTTATTTTAAAAAAATCAAATAAAATCTGTTTTCCCCCAAAATCAGGATAAAGGAAGCCATGTCTGGCTGTGAGCCCTTCTAGGACAACATTTAGGATAACACCTGTGAAGGATGCCCGAAATGCTGTTAACCATGGGAAAACAAGAGCCACTTTTATGTGGCTGCACCTTAAAAACCCATGGAAAAAAAAATAAAAGGGAGGGGGGAAGTTTTGGCACCCTCCTCACCACCCCGGGAGAGCAAAAACCACCAACCCCTGCTCCCTCCCCGGCCCATGCAGCCGCCACCGGGGCACAGCACCCGGCACAGAGATAACCGAAAAATTGGAGAAGGTGGTATAGAAAGGCACTTACCTGCTGCGTGCACAAAGTATGCCAAATATAAATCGAGTTCCTTAACAGAAACTCCTATATGGTGGGGCTGTACGCACAGCCCGGGGTTAGAGCACTGTGGGGACTTTACAAGGCGCTCGCCATCAGTACTTTCGAGCGGAATACCTTTAAATAAAATCACCATAACAAGGTCCAACCTCCAGACCTTATCTGCCTGGCGAAGGCAGTCAATTCTTCTCATCTTGCCCTTCTGGTCTGGATTGGAAAGAACGCAACACGGAGGCTTTTTTCCTGTGACTGTGAGAACAAAATCCTCCCGAAATTCAGGCCTGATATCTTTCCGGAGCTTTGCCAGAAGTCTGGATGCCCATTTTTGCTTTACCTCGGGTTTTTCACTTAGCAGTTCGTCCTTCACGGCTCTCTCTTCCTCTTTTGACATGCGTTTTTCATGTTTTTTGAAGTATTTTCTTTTTCGGGCTTGCAGGTTGAACCACGTGTACGCAAACGCTCGGACGTGAGGCAGAAGTGCTTCGATGAAGGGATGAAATTCATCCTGAAAAAAGTTACAGAGAAGGGTCGATGTCACCGAAACCATCAAGAAAGAGCCTCCAGAAATGGGGTTTTCGTGGGATGGTTAGAATTAGAAGGGTGCTTATAAAGGGCTTTAAGGGCTGTGGGACTCATAACCCTCACTGACAGACCCCGAACCCTCCACTGCCGCATCCCCGCTTCCCCTTGTACCGACCCAAATCCTCCGCTCCCGCCCCCAAAAACAGCATCCAACTTCAACCAAGTGCCCAGATGGAGATGGAGCAACGCTGGGGCCCGCTTTTCCCAGTCCCCAAATTTCTAAAAAAATAAAAAAGTTAGAATGAGTTAAAAGCTAAAAACACGGCTCTAAGTCCACTTGCGGAGCGCGTATCTCCCTTTGCTCTCTCCCTGACCCCGCTGCTTGCGGTGTAGCCAGCATTTGCCCGCCAATTTGGCAAATCCTAAACATTTGGATGCCAATCAATGTTTGTATGGGGAAGTCTAAAGTATAGTAAAACTTTCCCTAAGATATATTTGGAAATAGCAGCCGGCAGTATAGTAAAATGCCGCTATAGCTGTATATACAATTACAATGAACAGTGGTTTTCACTCTGGTTCCTGAAACGGTAAAGGGAGTAGAAAGTACCGCAGTCGATTTATCCCGCGGGTGCAACAATAACACTAAAATTCTAAAAAAAGCAAGTCTTGCAATTTTTTTATTTTTTTTTTTAGTTTTGTGTATATTTTTGTATATTTATATATGTCAAAAAGAAAAAAACAAAAACTTGACATTTGGGCATATAAGGGAAAGTCAAACTCTGAGCCTTTCTATAAATTAAAATAAAAAACAATAGGAAAAATTGAAAACTGTAGTAACAGAAAACTGTAGCACAATTTGCGCAAATATGTGAAGAATTATTAATTGTGTCAGATATTTTTAGATATTTAAAAAGAAATGCCCTACTTGGAAAGTTAGTTTGGCCATCCGGAGACACTGCTTGCTTTGTGTAACGAGGAGTTAAAGATCACCCCTGTCCCTTGGCACAAAAATAATCCTGATTAAAATTATGCTGACGATAAAAAAAAGCAAGAAAGACCCCTTGATTTTGTTTAAAAAAAAAAAAATTATATATATATATATATTCTCAGAAAGTACTACATAAATCAGCCTAAGAGATCAAAACATATTATAATATACTGGGGCCACGTTTCTTGTTTTTTCTTGGAATAAATGAATGACCGAACTCCAGGTTGCACATAAAAACGTATCCAGCCTGTGGGGCCTGATCCAGCACTGTGGGCTGGGGACGTCCCTGCTTCCAGTTCCTCCTTTTCTCAGGATTGGGCCCTCCAGGAGTGAAAAATAAAGTAATTTGTGCAAAGTTTCCCCAGCATGGGAAAAGCCACCCGCTGCCTACTCCTGCAAGAAAACATCGGGGATTTTTCAGATTAACTTTTTTTTTTTCTTAATTATCCCATGGAGTACGTTTCCTACCCAAATCATCGCAGGTTGCGTAAATATTGTTATAAAAAGAGACATTTTACTTCCTTTCAACACTTTATTTTAATTTACATTTTCTTTTCAGAAATTATGAAAAATTGAGAAATCAATAGTAAAAATATCTACCAGCAAAATCCCGTCATAATTCAAGACCTTCTGTTGACTTCCCAAAAGCTTTCATTGCACTTATTCCAAGTGGTCCCAGAATTATAAATACTTAAATCTATAGGTAATACCATTGCATTTATTTTTATTTTAAACACATATTGTTAAAAACTTCCCAAACAGCACAATATATTTCATTAGAGCAAAGCGGCAGTAATCAAAGTACTATTTAGGATTAATAAAATAAAAGCAGGTAAAATAAAATAAATCACCCCAATGATTGGCACATTCCTTTTTTTTTTTTTCTCCCTCCTCTATGGGAAAAGATGATAGTTTCAAATTTCAATAAAGTTAAAAAAAAAAAAAAAGAATGCTGCGAGTTTGCAGTCGGCAGATTCAAAAAGTGAGAGGAGGCACAATCCCAGCACATGGAGCTGCTCTCACCCACCAGAAACAGCTCTCACGGGGGGGGGGGGCAGAGGGGGGAAGAGAAGAAAAATATAAAAACTACAGGTCCCTACAAGCTATTAAAAATAATAAACCCTCCCTCTTGATCCCTCCTGTCCTTCTCTTTCCCCACTCAGGGAGAGTCAAGGAAAAAAGGCCTTTTGTCAAGTGGAAGTTTATCTGCAAAGGTACACAGAGCAGAGAGGCTCGACAGCCCCAGAGCGAGCCAGGGTAGCGCTTCCAGCCTTCCCACTTTCCAAACACGTCTTGGTACATCCTGAAATATTTTAACTTTTCTGCTTTAAGCAGCGCTTTGTCCTGCTTGATCTCATGTGCTCGAGACTTTTTTGGCTTAACACTGGATACTGTCCAAGAGAGAGTTGCTTTAACCTGCGCTAAAGCTGATTTCTCTACAATGTGAACCTGAAAGGGGAGGTAAAAACAACATCCAAAAAAAATTTAAAAAAACCCACAAAACCACTTTAGAAGGAGGGGGGGAAAAAAAGATGATGTTTTTTGGTGCAAAGTCAGGGTCTGTGGCTGAAGTAAACGAGAAGCACCGCTGCTCGTGCGCGAGGTGTGCACGTCCCTATTAGACTCCAATGTGTCTTTTCAAAATGGTGTATGAAGAGAAAAGGTTAATGACTCATAAACAGACCAACTTTCAAACTGTCTTGGTAAACACGTTGCTCCGGAAAATTGCACTGCTTCAATCTCAGCGGTGAGGTATTAGCAAAGTTCAAGTGGAAATAAAAGCAGCCAGGACTGATCAAACAGAATTGGGCTGGAAGCGGGGACGGAGGAGGGGGGAGCAGTTTCTGCATAATATAGTTATTTATTTCAGCATTATTACAGCTCCCCAAAACACCCAAAAAGTTTTGGAAATGTGTCAGTGCAAGTATGCTAACAGATACACAACTTGTCTGCAGCCTCACTGCAAAATAGCAGGATTTTAAGGAACTGGTGGAAAAGGCAGTGATCTTTCCCTTTCCCCAAGTTAGCTTGAAGGGAAACTTTGAAAGTATGTGATAAAGCTGTTTACTTTCCCCCCTTGGTGTTGGATGGGTCACCTAAAAATAAAAGATACCAGAAAACTGGGAAAGCAATAATAAAAAGTTGGTTTTTTCTTTATTGCACTACTCTCCAAAGTTTGAGGATACAGCTCTTCCGAGAGCTGTCTGTTTCTAAGCAGCACCTAAAATTTGGGCCACACAATTTGGTACTGTTATCCCAAAATTCTCTTCTGCTCTTCAAAAAGATGCTAAAAAAAAAAAAAAAGAACTATGATAAAAGAGCCCCAAACCCAGCCCAAAGGTGCCCGCAATAATGTAATCCTGCAAAGGAGGCTTTGAAACAATGTATTTCTGCAGATCTTTTGAATTTAAGCCAGCTACAGCGATCCTTGCTAATATTTTTACAATCCATTTACTTGTAAATCTATGAGATGTGCATATGTTCCCCAACTATTTCCTAGCTCCTCAGCAGATACGTAAATGGAACAATGTTTGGATTTTTCCTGACAGATGATACAAAATGCTCGTGCCATTTCGGTTCCAGGGTTTGGATAAATATGCTCAGAACCACGATTTCTGTTTGTTTTCCTTGTCTAACCCACTTTCAAGAGCTTCCCTTTAAATTTGAAGCAAAACTTGCCAAAAAAAAAAAAAAAATTCTGTTCCAAAACTTGTATCAATAAAAGCTCCCGAAATGATAAAATAGGAAATTGCTTCAATTGCTTGCAATGGCTCAGGGCTCACCCCCTTTTCTATGGAAAAATGACAGAACCACCTAATTGATCCTTCAGAGGGAAGAGTTTGTCAGGAGGCCTCTAATCCTTATATTACTTTTCCAAACGTGCAGCAAGAATGCGAGATTTTCCTAACGGAGTCAAAGCACATGCTGGGCTTTTTGCCCTTTTTTTTTCTTTTTATAACTTAAAAAAAAAAAAAAAAAAAAAAAAAAAAAAAAAGAGGGGGACACACATAACATGACTGGGCCACGAGCAACCAGCCCATGGATTTATTTTCTCTCCTTAATGTGCAACTGGGCCTACTGAGCCCAAGGAGCCCCACGTGGAGATGCCAAGCGAGTCGGTGCTGCGGGCCCTGCACGGAGTGTCCGGGGTCCCTCCTGCAGCTGCAGAGCTGACAAAAACCAGGTATTTTTCAGAGTTGAATTAGAAGCACAAACTTTGTCCAGGCAGAGCCCAGAGTTGCATCCCAACCTCTGCAAACTCCTTTTGCTCTTGTTTTCCTCCTGCCTTTGAGCAAGTGTACGGTTTGGAGTTTCGTGTCCCTGCCGGCCTGGCATTTCCTCACCAGCACCCCAAAATTTGGAGGAGGCTGGGAAAAGAGAGGGGACCATGACGGGAGAAGGGGTTGAAACTTTTGCAGCTCTTCGGGCTGCCTGGGAAGCTGCCGCCCCTCTCTCTGCAATTCCTTGCCTTTTTCTCGGCGGAAAGAGCCCGGAGAGGCTTTCTCACCGGGAGAAAAAAAATATTCCAATTAAATTAATAAGAATAATGTAGTCAAAATCTCCTGCAGGAGGAAATAATCTGGGGTTTGAGTCCGCCACAAAGCATTTCCTCGTTAAACCATTATATCCTGCTAATTGAAGGGGTGTAATTCAGCGTCCTGCAGCAGCGCGCGGAGAAAAAGGGGGGGCCGGGGGATCCGCGGCCGCGCAACTGGGGGGCACCGCGGAACGACACCCCTCCCATCACATTCCCCGCGTAGCCCCGTCCCGCCGAGAGCGGGGGGCGCAAAAGTTGCGCCGAGTCCCGCGGGGGCCCGATCCGCGGGCGGGAGGGTGGCGAGGGGGGGGACACGGGACACACGCGGGACAAGTTTGCGGGTGTCCGTGCGGGGACACGCTCACGGGTCCCCGGCCGCGGCGGCCGCCGGGTGTGCGGAGGGCGCTGAGCGCGGGGGCGGCTGCACCGCGCCGCACCGCGGGACCGAGCCCAGGTG